CACACACACACACACACACACACACACACACACACACACACACACACTTTCTTCTTCCTCACTTCTTTGCCTTCCTGCCCAGAAAACTGAATTTCTCCCCCATTAGTCCACCGTATCTGTCAGACCTGAGACAGTGGGTGCGTGCCTCCTCAGGACTGCCTTCTTCTATCTTGTCCCTCTCCAAAAAAAAGAAACCTGCATCCCATATCACCATGTAGAATTTTACAGTCAAAGTCTTTTCATCTAATTCTGGCTATCTTTCCCCAGAGTGGGTTGGTTTGTTTCCAAGAGATAGGGGATGGAACTGGGTTTTCTCTCTTACTATTGTGTTTCATTGTTATTTTATGAACGTTGGCACACATAGTTCATCAGAAGGTATTTATAAAAAGGACTCATGAGTGAACAGATAAATTACTTCAATACTTCTAGTGGTTTAGTTTCAAAATATTGCCGCTAGAGGGCAGCAATAGCCAGCAAAGAAAGCACAGAAGAGGTCAAAACTGACTGAAGTATAGGTTTGAGGCTCCTCAAGGATCACACCTTTTCCACTGGCCTTACTCGACACCATTGCTGCACGTCTTTTACTGGCACGGACTATCCAGGTGAGTAAATCTACTTTCAGGAATGCATTAAACAACAACAACATAGATTTCTCTGCGTGGCAAACGTTGCTGTTTCGAGCTATGGCCCGTAAGTAGAGCGGGACGGCAAACCTGTGCATAGTTGTAGTACCATGTGATTCCACTAGAGGGGCATGCATGGGCCAGTAGGCTGTTGACATTCTAGACCCTCCTCACCTCTGGCCATAGAGCTCGGGGGACATTCTCTCACCTTCCTTCTGCTCATTAGATGCTTTTTAAGCATCCAGCCAATTCTCATGTGGAAACTTTGGGAATCGCCGGAGAAAATGACCTATTGGGTCCTGAGAAGGCTGAAGGACACTCCTATCTTTTACTCTCGCTTAACCTCCGCTCATCTTTGAACTTATTTGAGGTGTAGCCTCTACTTTCCCTAGTCACTTTTCTCTGTCCCCCACCCTCCGTCATTAAATCTATAGGAACTTATGGTTCTAAATATGCTATCAAGTTTTCTGTTCATGTTTCACCAGCACAGGTCAGAGTCAGAGATCCTTCCCAAACAGTGACCTCATCAGGAACAAGAGCCCTCACTTCTCCCTCCTCCTTCTCCTCCTCCGTCTCCTTTTTCCTCCAGAGACAGGGTTTCTCTGTATAGCTCTGGCCGCCCTGGAACCACTTTGTAGACCAGGCTGTCCTTGAACTCACAAAGATCCACCTGCCTCTGCCTCCAAAGTGCTGGGACTAAAGGCATATGCCACCACTGTCCTGATTCTTCTTATTCTTAACATTTAAGTTTCAGAGACGTTTACCTGCATGGGCCCCTCCCAATTTGTGTGTGTGTGTGTGTGTGTGTGTGTGTGTGTGTGTGTGTGTGTGTGTAGGAGCTGGGAGCTTCACAATGTCTTCACAAGGGCATATGTTTTCGTAAAATTTTGCAAAACTAAACTGTCTTAACCAAAAGCCGTTAAGATCACTGCTGTTCTGTCCACTTTCCTCTCTGGCTGACTTCCATTTACGTAAGTTAGCCATGTAGAGGCTTCAGTGGTCTGGAAACCTGGTAGGTGAAGTTAAAATAAGAGCACATTTAGTTTTGGTTTAGTGGGGGTATATTTAAGGAATTGGAATGACTCCTACAAGTAGCTAGGGCTATTGATAGCTATTCCACCTTAGGAGCGCCTTTCAGTAATATTCCCAAGCAAGCGGAAAGCTCACTTGACATCTTGGCTGGAATGTGCAAGACCAAATGTCTTCTAATTCCATAAATGTGTTGTGTGGTACTGAGCACCAGGCGGAAGAGACAAGGTTTCAAAATTAAGGGTCATTACTTAGAACACAGGAATTTCTTTGGGTCTTGAAACACAGATTTTTTTTTTAAAAATATTTATTTTCTCTCTCTCTGTTTCTCTCTCTCTCTCCATCCGTCTCTCTGTGTGTCACACACAGATGAGTGGCCAGTAAGGCCAGAAGGTGTCAAGCTTTTGTAGCTGGAGTTTTGTAGCTGTTATGAGCTATTTGTTATAGGCGTTATAAATTGAACTGTGGTCCTCTGCAAGAACAGGATCAGCTCCCAGCATACAGATTTTGAAACAGAACCTGAATGTGCTACCAGCTCTTCTGGCCGTGGGTGCCCTGAGGATGCTGGGAGCTGGTCTGAGCTGACACTATCCTCTTCTCTACTAGCTCAGGTGCTCTCAATGGCAGTGTATTCATGTATGCTGTTGAGTTCCCTTCTCTTGGCCTTAGGTGGTCCTGGGCATTCAGCCACAGCATTTGCAGTGAGCACTGGCTGCTTTACTTTCATCAACACAAGTCCTGACCTCATGGCTCGATTTCTCATAGCTGATGAAAATTAACTTTCTTTCTGGGGTCCTCCCTGCACATGGGTGAGCCATGATTTTTTAGACTCTCTCATTCTATACTTGTGATTTCCCATGATGTTAGGAGTATCATGACACTGATCCTAGGAGTATTAGAATAGGAGTATTCTTCCCTGATCCGAAGCATTTAGGGAGTCAGGCCT